CGCGGGCCGCCCGCCCAGGCGGCGCCCGCGGGGCCCATCGGTCCTCCAGCCCGTCCCGCGAGTCGGCGGCCGGGGCGGTGCGCTTCGGAGGGGGCGACCTGTCGCCGTCGCGCGTGCGCGGGCGCGGGGTCGTCGTCGTCGTCGTCGTCGTCGTCGTCGTCGTCGTCGTCGTCGTCGTCGTCGTCGTCCTCCTCCTTGTCCTCCTCCTCCTCGCCCTCCTCCATCCGTTGTCCCTGTGAGCAACTCCCCCCTGCCGCGCCCCCAAACCGTGTCGGCATGGCGGGTCGGGCGCTTCGCCAAAGACTCCCTCACCATTTATGTTCCTGAAGTTTGAGACCTGCAGCACCTTCGCGGATGGCGGGCGAGCCGTTCTCGAAGCGTGGCTCTCGCTTCAGCGCCGCGCACATTCGTCTCGGCGGAGGACAAACCTCTCTTTCGTAAACCACCCTTTAGTGAAAACGGCCCTGGGACCGAAACCGACGGACCTGGACCCGCAAACATGACGGCCGCGACGCCCTCTCGCGAACCGAAAACGGCCAATTCGCTAGTCGACGTGTAAGGGTAGGAGGTCTATCCAACCCCCGATCGTCTTAGAAGCTTGCAACAGTTTCACGGATGGAGAGCGGGTCGTCCTCAAAATGTGGCTCGCGTCGTAAGCGCTGCGCACAGTCGTCTTGAAAGTTTGCAGCAGTGTTTCGGCTGGAGGGCGGGTCGTTTTCAAACGGTGGCTCTCGCCCTGGCGCCGCGCACACTCGTCTTAAACGTTCGTGGCAGTTTCAAGGACTCGTGTGGTTGAGGTTCCAATAATGGCGTTCTGGCACGATTCGCTGTGAAGCCCCAGGAACGGCGTTCTAGTACGATTTAGGATTGTCAGGACGTAACAGTCACTAGCGGCGGTGAAGTCCCAAGACTGGTGTTCTGGCACGATTGAGGGCTCTCAAACGGTTGTCTTCCAACGTGGCACTTCCCGCAACGGTAACACAGTCTTGTAGGGATCTATGAAAAAGGGAGCTTGGAGGAAGGGTTTATTGCAACATGGTTGATGTGTCCTGGGTTTACGTTGGTCCTCCTCCTCCTCCTCCTCCTCCTCCTCCTCCTCCCTCTCATCCAACACCTCATCTTCCTTCTTCCCCCCCGAAATCGTCGCACGTATGAGTTCTTACGCGGCTCAATAATTTGATGGGTTCGCCAACGTTTCCCCTGGTGGGCGCTTTTGGGCGCCCCGGTGCGCCGGCTGTGTCCGCCGAGGTCTCGCCCTGTGGGCGCCCGTGTGGTCACTTCGTGGGCGACCGTGCGCTGGTTGGGTCCGCCGAGGTTTCGCCTGGTGGGCACCCACGTGGGATCCGCTGGGTATTGGACTACTTAGCTTGCGCCTCACAAGTTCCACCACACATATTGCACCACACAGCGTGTCCCAGGTAGATTGCAGCACAGCTTGCGCCAGATAGATGGCGCCACATGCGCAGTTTGTAGCTCAGGGGGTGCACGACATGTCTTGAACCACATCGATCGCGCTTCATAGCTTGCAACTCATAGGGCCCAACACAGATATTACGTGTGCATCCAGGGTGCAACGACTCACTGCCTAGGGCCCACGCTGGCAAACATTAATTAGCATCTCCTCCAGCTTCACCTCCCCCTCCTGGCCCTGCTGCGACTGCCGATTATCGGCTCCTCGTCCTCCTCCTCGACTTCCTCCTGCTTCTTCTGCTTCTCTTCGCCAGCTCCCGAATCCACGCCTCGTACTTTTTCTCTTTGTGCCCGTTCCTCTCCACCTGCTCTTGCACTCCTGGTTCTCCTTCCTCTTCTTCAGATTCTCCTGTGTACCTCCTCCAACCAGAACAACTTGCATCTTGTGAAGGACCTTTCAATCAGGATAATTTGATCAATTCGTAATTATTTTCTTTCTGGTCCTTGTTCGGGAGAGAGAGAGAGAGAGAGAGAGAGTGGCCCCCGCTTGAAAAAGCACCCACGTCCGAGAGAGAGCGAGAGATAGAGAGAGAGAGAGAGAGATAGGGAGAGAAAGGGGTCGAGCACGGTGAGCCGAGCTCACCTCCGGGAAGCGGTGGAGGCAGCGATCGAAATTTGAATCAGTGGCGCCCACTTGCCCCCTCTGCCAGTGCAGCATCCTATTTGCTCGAGGACGCACTGACCACAACCCCGGGTCAACACAAACCCGCGTCGGCCAGTGCCCTGTCGCGAAGCCCGGCCCGCCGCTCAGTGGCTCCCCCAAAAAGGGGCCAGAGAAGAGCGGCAAGGGGAAATCGGCCCCACGTGGCTCCCAAACCACGGTCAGCCAAAGGGGGTTGGGTGACCTCCGTTCGCGCTGACCCCCGTTACGTGAGCCCGGATTCGCGGCCACGCTTCCGTCCCCGGCCGGCGCAAGCATCCTCTTTTTCCCGCTCGCGAAGCCGACACCATCGCGGCGAGCTGTGGCTAGCATTCTCCCTTCAAATTGAAAAATTCGGCATGGCTCTCACCTGGCGCTGTAAGTACCTGGTCCTACCTGCCTTCATAAAGTTTGCGGAGCCTTGTTGGCTCCTGAGTTTTCGCTCTGTGAGATCGTACTGCTGGCCTCGCACGCCCCACGGGAGGCATTCGTACTCGAATGCTTAATGCCTCGAGGAATCCTTTTGTGGTTGACTCGTTTATGTCTCCGTGGAGGCCTTCGCGTCGACCCTGCCAGAGGTCCTCAAGCTTCTACCAGGTTCGACATGTGCGTGAAGGTGATGTGGCGGCTGACTCCCCCGTCTGTTTGTGTCATTGCATGCTCCCATGCTCTCCTGGTCCGTGCTACTGTCTAGAGTCGTATTAGAGTTGCAGGTGTTCGAAATGACTTGCACCAAGCGCTGTAAGTACCTGGGCCAAACTGCCTTCACGAAACCTGTGGATTTGAGATTCCTGGTGCCCCCGGTGCAGTCTGGCCCGCTTGAGACGAGCTGGCGGGCTGGTGAAGTTGGGAGGATCTTACTTACAGTAGGGGCCCCACCACAAGAAACCTTCCGGGAGAAACCCAACCCTGAGACCCCAGGACGTCCATTGATTTTTGGTGTGGGAGCGTCACGCTTTCCATAGCAAAACTATCGAAACCCAAGAAACCCAAAGCACACTGGAGGCAAGCAGGGTTTTTCTTGGCACGGGTTTCCACTGTACTTCCTGTGGCTAAAGGAGGACGAAGAGAAGGACGAGGCAGGAGGATCGGCGCGAGCCCAGGTGGGAAAAGAGAGGCGGCGGACCTTCCTCAGAAGGCTCGGACGGCCTCGAGCCTGCTGACAAGTTTGTCTTGAGCCTTGCGCCGCCGAGAGGAGGGGGAAAGCGCCGACCTTGCAGACGTGCTGCGGCGGATTTTCGCGTGTATTTCTGTCAATGCAGAACCCCGAAGCGGCGAGTGAAAAACAAAGCGAATCTCGCGGTTTTTTTTTGTTGGTAGTCTTCACTCCTGGCCAGAAGAGACCCACACGAAATTCACCTCGAAATCCGCAGCGACATTCTCCAGGATACTCCGGGCCCATCCTATCGTTTTCCGAACGAAATCAGCTCTGCGATGTTGGCGCCATGAGAGGTGGGAGGCAGAGGAGGAATGGCTCGATGCCGCCCACTCGGCGAAATCAACTCATCATAAAGTATGTGCACCGTAACAGTTCGCGATGCACGAGGAAGTTTGGTGGCAGGAAGCCGCTGGCAGCTACACAGCGTGCTTTGCTTTGAAGCGTGCCCTGAAGATCGGGCAGCAATTAAAAATGATCCTCTTCAGGGCTGCGCGAGAAAGTTTGGCGGCAGGAAGCCGCTGGCAGCTACACAGCGTGCCTTGCTTTGAAGCGTGCCCCGAAGATCGGGGGGCGGCTTAGCTGCCCCGATACGCAACACGCAACACGTAGCGTATTGATACGGAGCTCAACACGTAGGCTGAAAACGTAGTTCCGACGCGATGCACTCGCCCAAACGTGGTCCAATACGTGGAGCCAACACGCAACGTATTGACGCGGACGTCTTGAACATGGGACGTATTGCGTTTCAAAACGCGCGTATCGAGGCAACTAAGGGGCGCGGCAATTAAACATAATCCTCTTTGGGGGTGCTGGCGCTACCCCTGCGACCGTGCACGGCAGGCCCAGAACTGCCGAACACGGTGCGCCGCACGCTGCAGACGTACCCGAGAAGTGTGTGTGTGTATGTGTGTGTGTGTGTGTGTGTGTGTGTGCGTGCGTGCGTGCGTGTGTGCGTGCCGCAAGCAGCGCGGCACGGTCAACGCCGATAGGTGATCATGCTTTCTACGCTGTAGGCGCCTCTGTCGGCAAGCAACGCCTCCAGAGTAGCAGGGGCCACCGAAGATGAGGCCGGGATGAGGAGGCGGAGGCGGAGGCGGAGGGATGAGGCCGTGCCAGGGGTGTCCCAGCAGACCATCTTCCCGGGGAAAACGCATGCCTTCAAGGTCAACGATCCGTGGCGGCTGGCTGGGCCTCAGAATGCTGGAGGCTCTTGCGGCAGAGTGCTGGTGCGGAGTTGAAGAAACATGCTCAATGAGGCGGGTTGATCGGGGAGACATAAGACTCGGGTACGGGGGACTCGGGTTGGCTTGACGGGGCCGTCAGGAAAATGACGATACCCAATCTAACATTTGACGCGATCTCCCGCTGCATACATCCCACAACGACTGGACAACTGGACCGTCAAAATCGAGGACAGACCTGTGAAGCAACGCCGGAAAACCCGAGTTCTGGCGTACTCGAATCTTGCATTTCGGGTGTGGCTAGAAGTGCCCCTGGCCCAAGGCGCCCCCAGGATCTCTAAGGAGCCCCCACGGCCTCCACAGCACCCCTCATGAGGCCCAGACGGCCCCGAGGGCTCCAAAATGGAGCGAAAAGCTGGGGGCACCTTGGGCCAGGGGCACCTCTAGCAGTCCCCGAACTGTTTATGCCGCACGGTCTGCTCATCAGATGGTGGCCGCCAGCCAGGAGTGACTGCAACGTCGGCCCACAACCGTCTCTCCAGCAGAAGCCCTACTGGGTGCTCGTCGGCACGATCAGCAAGCACGCGAAGCTCGGGTGGGAACGCTGGCCCGTCCCCACTCTCGCAGAACAACTGTCCATGCAGCGAACCCCCGAGTGTTTCCCCGACTGGAGTTCTGCGGAGTGCCTGCGCAGGCTCGGTGAGGCAACGTCGGCGGCCTCATCGGCCCGGGAGCTCCAGAATGGAGCGAAAAAAGCGGGGGGCACCTTGGGATGGCGGGGGGCACCTGTTTTGGACGCCCGAAACGGGTACGGAAGAAATGGGTACCATGCCCAACAGCAAAAGCTGCCCCAAACCAGCAGCGGCCGCCGTTGGGCAGGCGGCGGCTTGTCTCAAATGGACACAGGCCGCGACGGCGCGGACCGCGAATCCTGTCCAAAATGAACAGGAACTGCTGTTGGACATTGTACCAATTCTTTCCGAGCCCCTCCTCCTCCTCCCCCTCCTCCCCCTCCCCCTCCTCCTCCTCCTCCTCCTCCCCCCCCCTCCTCCCCCTCCTCCTCTCCTCCCCCTCCCCTCCTCCTCCCTCCTCCTCCTCCTCCCCCTCCTCCTCCTCCTCCTCCTCCTCCTCCTCCTCCTCTCTCCTCCTCCCCTCCCCCTCCTCCTCCTCCTCCTCCTCCTCCTCCTCCTCCTCCCCCTCCTCCCCCTCCTCCTCCTCCCCCTCCTCGTCGTGCTGACCTTTGGCAGCCCCCGCACGTGTCCCCGACCGGAGAGGCCCTGCGGCAGAGCGCCCACACGAGCTCGGCGAGAGAGACAGCGCCAGCGCCCCCATCGACGGGGGGCTGCACCTCGCTCACGGAGGGGAGGGGGGGGATGTGCCGTCGGCGCGCGCCTTCTTCTTCTTCTTCTCGTCCTCCTCCTCCTCCTCCTCCTCTTTCTCTTCCTCCTCCTCTTTCTCCTCCTCCTCCTCCTCTTCCTCCTCCTCCTCTTCTTCCTCCTCCTCTTCGTCCTCCTCTTCCTCCTCCTTCTCCTCCTCCTCCACCTCCTCCGCTGGCGCCGCTCCTCCCCGTTCCAGTATCCGCAGTGCCCCCGACTCGTGGCTGGCTCTGGCCGCTGCTCCACGTGGAACACATCAGGACAAAAGAGTCACCACATCGACCTTGCAGACGTACTGCAGCGGACTTGTGCGTGGATTCCTGTCAGTACAAAGCCCTGGAACGGCGAGCGAAAAACGAAGTGACTTTCACGTGGATGTCTTGTAGTCTTCATTCCTGGCCCCAAGCAAATCCGCACGACATGCACTTGGAGATCTGGAGCGAAATTCTCCAGGACAATCCGAGCCCATCCCATGGTTATCCGAACGAATCCGCTCTGCGATGTTGGCGCCATGAAAAGAGCGTGACAGCCAGAACTACGATCAAGAACACTATTGTTTGAGAAACCTGGGCCAGCTTCCCAGAGGCTTCCTGACACAAGCCTGGGGCAATTTCTGCTGTGAACGCTGGAGGGGCGAACGTGCTCAAGAAACTGGGCCAACTTTCTGGCACATTGGCTGAGGAACGCCGGCCCAGCTTTCCGGGTGGAGGTGTCTGTATCAATGCTCGACTGTACGTGCCGCGGGGGGGGAGGGGGGCAGGAGGGTCCGGAATCAAATCCATAGGTCGGATTGGCGATCGACAGGAATCGTAGCGGCGGAAATCGGCAGCCAAGGCAGGAGAACTCGAATCGGCGGACATGGGCAGGCCAGGACGGCCTCCAGCGAGAGATGCAGGTCGGAATCCCAAACTGAATCGGAATCGGACTCGGGATCGGTCGACATCGAATCGAATCGAGCCGGGGAAATCGAAACGAGCCCTTGGAAAGGGGGCCGGCTCCTGCCGCCCTCCACCGAGGGCGCCTTGTGGGGCAGGGCCGACTCCCCGCCGCGACAGCTTCGGGGCTCGCCGCCAGTGGCCCTCGGCGCGCCCGGGGTGCAATCGGCGGCGAGCGAGGGGGGTCGGAGGGTGAGAGGGAGAAAGCCTTCTCAGAAGGCGCAGAAGGCGGCGGGGCTTCTCAGCAGGCCTCCGGCCTTCCGAGAGGTTTTCCGTGTCTTCGGGGGGAAGGCTGAGACAACTCCTAAGAAGGCCAGGAGACGTCGGAGCCTTCGGAAGAAGCCCGCCCCTTCTCACTTCCCCTCCCCGGCTCGCCGCCGGTTCAAGCCCTTCCGCTTCGACGGCCAGAGCCTTTCTGGACACAAGCCCGCCAGCTCCCCCCCCTCCCCCCCCAGCCGAGAAGCACTGATAGGGGGGCACTGGCATAGGGGGGGTCGACCTGGAATCGGCGATACATCGCCGATAGATCGGTGATAGGACCCCGATAGCGATTCCGCACGTTCCTGGGCGGTGTGGCCTATCGGGCCCTCTCGGTGATCAGTGGCCGATTGGGAGTCGACGCGCCCCACCCCCCAGAGCATTTTCCCCTTCGCATGGCACCTGACCGGACCTTCGCCCCCAGAAGCAGCAGATCCGAGCCCCCCGCGGGGGTCGCGCGCGGCGAGGACTTGGAGCGCAC